CACAGAATGGTTGAGGTTGGAAGGGGCCTCTAGAGATCATCTAGTCCAACCCCCCTGCTCCAGCAGGGACACCCAGAGCACGTGGCACAGGGTGGCATCCAGGTGGGTTTGAAGATCTCCAGAGAAGGAGACTCCACAACCTCTCTGGGCAGCCTGTGCCAGGGCTCTGTCACCCTCACAGGAAAGAAGTTCTTCCTCACATGGAGATGGAACTGCCTGTGTTATACCTGTTCCCCCTTGCCCTGTCACTGGCCACCACCAAGAAGAGTTTGACCCCATCCTCCCTACATTCACTCTTCAGGTATTTATACATATTGATAAGATCCCCTCTAAATCTTCTCTTCTCCAGGCTAAACAGGGCCAGCTCACCTAGTCTTTCCTCGTAAGAAAAGATGAGAATTAAGCAGGACAAAAAGGGATTGCGCAGAGAATAGAAGACAAATAGTAAAATAAAAGGAAAAATAAAAACAATGAAAAAATCTGAAACAGATGAAATGTAGTGGTTGGGACTAGGAATTAGGGCCTTTAGGAGATCTTCATGCAAAAAAAAAAAAAAAAAAAAGTGTAAGTGGAGTAGCAGAGAAGCACATCAGCTAACAGGAGAAGCTCTGACAAAAAAAAACAAAAGGAAGGTTTTGGGGTGGAGGGTCGTTCTTTATTTTTCCTTCCAGTGTTGGCTAGTCCCATAGTAGATCATAGAATGAAGATAAAAAGAAGGACAGACTTGCTCAGTGCTCTCCTTCAAGAGACACGTATGAGAACAGTGTGATGCTGCACAGCAACGATACATCGCGATAATAGCATTTTGCAAGACATGGCAAAACAAATATTGAAATCTGTCATGAAGGCATCATACTCTGATTATTTGGTAACTGTGTGGACTTGATTGATTGATGAAATGATTAACTCTTCAAGACTGAGGGTATCTCTCAAATTATTGTTTCACTGGATGCAAACACTTATTTAAATTTAAAAGGGTCACAGAGGGTTGCTAATATGAACTGAAAGAATTCCTGGTTAGGTGATCCTGACAGAAAACAGTTTCCGTGTGAATGTGTACGGATGGCCAAATCTTTGTTCTCTGTTCAAGAACAGAACCACTGAACATGTTGCCAAATCTTACCAAATGAATTTGACCACGTATATAGGAAGAGTCAGAGCTGTGCCAAGAGCAGCAAAGGACATTGTTTTTGCTGTTAAATTTTAACTATAATAGTATCCATAACTCATGTACTCTTAATTTGGAGATTTTCAATGGTAAGTAGATCCACAGCCTGGGATTATTATGCCCCTAAAGCTGGTCTTGGCATTGCTGCTGAAATGCCACTCTAGGCTTGCAGAATGGAAGTGGCATAAAAATTCTCTAAGCCTTTAATTCATATTTTGCTAATAGAATATAATAACTGCAATATAAGAAAGGCCAAATAAGCAGTTCATGACTGTTCAGTGAGTATTTAGCAATTTATTTTCACAAGAATACATTCTACATCTAATGACCACGGACTATAAACTGAATGCTGATTTACTGACAACTGGCATCTCTAAAGTCAGTAAGAATATTGGTGGCTTCCTGCTTTTTCTTTCTTAAGATGTATATTGCAGCCAGAAACTTCTGCCTTATCTGCATTTAATGTCAATATTTTGTCTATTACACAAATTAGTTATTATATCTAATAGAAGATAGATATTATTTATACTTAAATTTTTATATCACTATTCCTGCACAAATCTATGGCACATATGGCAGACTTGGAGTCTTGGATGTCTCCTGAAGGAACTGGCAGCAGTTTTAAAATGAAAAATGTTTAATGATTTCTTTTTTCCTTAGCATTTTATTTATCCATTTGAGTTTTAAAATCTGTAGATAGCTGTTGTAATTTCATCTATTTCTTTTTTAATTTGTAAATTCCTACCTCAGATCTACTATACATTATACTGTGGTATATCTTGCAAATGCCACTCCCACACCCAAAGACAGTACAACATCAGAGATGAGATTTATCTCTATAACAAAAAGGAGCAAAACTCTTTTCAGTAATATTTTCTTTAAGTGATATTTGAAATTATCAAAATTATTTTGAGTTTTCCTTACAAAGGGGCATCTAATGAAACAAAATTTAAATGGGGAGAATTAAATGTATAAAATGTATTTTTTTACAAAGCCATTATTTATGTTGTAGAATTTTATGTTACTTCAGGCAATTACAGAGCCCAAGAATTGGGAGGACTCAAAAAAAAAAAAAAAAAGGTTTTCAACAACATTTAAAACTTTTCAAAACTTTATAGAAGTTAGCAAAACAAGTTATTCGTAAGTGTTACTAAGCCTTCTGTTTCAGGGCCTTACCATTTTAATAATTTGATATTATCATCAGGTAGAAAGAACTCCCTAACTTAGGAAGAACTAGATTCAGGTAAGGCCCATATGTTAAATAAATAAAACCCTTTTTCCATATGGATATAACAAAATGTAACACAGTACAAAATTGGTCCCTGAGCAAATTCTGTGATAACACATAGAAAGGAGATTAAAAAAAAAAAAAAAAAAAAAATTCCCTGCTAGCTGCCAACTGACTAAACGTTGGACAGACTACATACTTACATTGCGGGAATGTTTATTCAAAACTGGAAAGTGAGGTGCTTACTGCAAAATGCTAAAACCAGTACATTCAACTCTGGATAATGCGTAATATCAGAAACATGACTATGTAAAATCCCAGCAGGAACAATAAAAAAAAAAAGAATACTTAATTTATTACTGTTTTCAAGTCAAGTTATTATGGCATAAACCAGTATTTAATACTTGATTTATGTTGCTTTGGTTACCATAAACTGAAGACTAGGAAAATACTTAAAATTAGGAAATCACCAGGTGCTATTTCGTGTTTTAATGTCTGTTAACACGGACATTTCAAAGAACAATAATTATATTTTTCTTCATTTAGGATCTCTGATATTATAATTAGAATTAGAAATTTTAGCCTCACCAAGGTAGTTCTCACTTTAAATGGAATCAACATTTATAGTATTTTTTCTCTGCTCCTTAAAAGACTCAGTCCCTTCCTGCTAGAAGAATTTAGAAATTTTTCATGTACTTTTTGTTTGTTATTTTATAAAGCTAGTCTAATGTACTGTGTAATTTGATACCTTTAATTGCTTCGAACAGTATTTTCTGTTTTCTCTCTTAAATTTGTTTCCCCTTCTCAGAATATGTTCATTTTCCTCTAGGAAGTCAAATTTCATGGATCATTTGCATAAAGGGGAATCTGGCACAAGTTTCTAAACCCAGATGTCTGGCTTGCTATAAATTAACAGATAGATTTATGTGTAGCTATATTTTTTCTTCTTTCCCCTTTTTTTTTTTCTTTCTCAGTTACATATATCTTTTTCAAAATAAAATCCTACAAAAATCTTGAGTCTTTTTTTGTACCTGATACTTTTTCTACCTGATAGTAATTTTTGAGTTAAATATTTTGCTCCAGTGAACTTTACACACACTTCAGAAAGGTAATTATTGCTCCTGACTTTTCCTGATGATTCACCTGGTTCTCTGTGTACCAACGACACAGAAAATGATACTTTTCTTGAACTGTGTCAAATAGAATGCTAATTAAAATACCCTCCCCACTGTTGAGGAGATAGTTGTACAAGGTAATAGCACATTCTAAATGGCTAGATTTTTCTACAAGGTAATGTGAAAAATGTAACTGACATTACAGAAAATGTAGGCAGTACAACCATATGAGCTTCAAAGGTGCAACAAATATAAGCAGATTATTACACTCAATTTCTTAAAGGCAATCACTTCAGTTTTCTAATCACTGAAATACTTGTCTATTTTATCAAAGCCTACAATATACAAAGGTGAAAATGTAAAGCTTGATCAGTAGCATTACTTTTTTTCTTTATTGAGAGGTTATTATTAAACTTTATTAGACCTATAAATGTTGTCCTTTACATATCTAATGAGGTGGGTGTAGCCAAATATAAGGAAGTTTTTTATAACGAAATTAAAATATCCTGAAGTTTAACATATATCATATTCAGACTGCAATAATTAAGACCTTAGACACAAAGTCATTTACAATTTAAGGCTGTTCTAGATCTTTTATTTCATATGCAAGTGTCATCAAAGTTACTAAAGGCAAAATTTATTTTCATGTAAATGTCTTCATGTAAATATGTTATCAATTACGGTCTGGCCATCGCTGTACCTCATTGTCAACCACACAAAATAGACTGAAAATTTGGCTTCATCTCAAGAAGAATCTTAACGGTAAGGCACAGCTGACCTGTACAGAAATCCTCTGGATGACAACTAGGGCTTCCTGTTGCTTTAGCACTTGGTAAAACATGTACAGACTCCAGGCCTGATCACTCTGGACAGTTTAAGACAAAACTATGAAGTGTTCAAGCCTTTTATAAGGCTTTGAGATAAAGAAAACATAACAAAGAGTTATTTTTTGGCCATGACAACCTTTTGGCAGTGAAATGGCAGGTTTTAACAATGATCACACATGTGCATTTGCTTCAACACTTCCATTTAAAATGTGTTTTTTTAAGTCAAAATTTTAAAAAAGGTTATTATTTCTTAAAGTTCTTCTGAGAATATAAAGTTTAGCTTATCTTTTCTAGGGATTTGGCAAGTGAAACTCAATAATCATCTATATTAATAATATCAGATATCTAAAACCCTAATTCACACAGACCTTCTGATATCCTGGCTCTATAGAGCTCTTAAAAGTAAACAGCAGCGATAACTTACTTTAGATAACACTTTGGCACACACACAGGGAGAGGATATATTGACTGCTGTATGTGACCCTGCCTCAATTTTAGTTTTTTTGCTTAATTATTTACTGAGAATGAACATCAAAAAAGAATTATGACTAACAGGAAGTAATTCAAATGACAATTCTTCACATTGCAATCCAAAGACTGTAGGAGGTAAAATTAAATTGGATATTAGGTTTTAATCAGGTTAATTGTAAGGGTCTCCTTACCTTCTATTGCTGAGAGTAGAACACGAGAATGGTCATATGCAATTACATTCGCATACCTATTCTTTGGTTTGTTTACTTCCAGGTTAGAGTGTTCCCATGTGAACTGCTGACCGGGATCAATAGACTTTGAAAAGAGAAGAAAAAGGAGAGAAAAAATATTAGCTAACTACTGCAGAGTTATCATACTTATAATGACACACACCATATGATCCAATAGTTTGCCCTGGAAATATTTTGCTTTTGAAAGAAATTTACAAATTCAGGACTCATCATAATGCACTATATTACAGCAAGCATTTGATGTTGATGCACGTGGAACTGCAACCAGCTATTTAAACCACATGTTTTCCAAATCTAAGGTAATTGTCCTCAGGTTCTCAGGAAGAGGGAGAAGAGTTTTCAAGCAGTTTTGCAACAAGTGGTTCTAGCATGACAGAGAATGAAAAAAGTCAGAAATCTTAAAAGCACTGTGATGTGGAGAAAATATCTTTGTCTTCTGACAAAAGTGAACATTTTTTTCAAAAAATTCACAATGTGTCCTGTTCACTAAAGAAAGTTTAAATGTTCCTGAAAATGTTGTTGTTGTTTCTTTTTCTTTTTTATATTTTGGCACAATGACAATTAATGACACCAGTGTTGCTTAAGGACATAAGAGACACACTACAAAGATATTGTCTATTTTTATTTCCTTGACTCATGCATTCGGTCGTAAAAAAAATTTATGAGCAAAATAGGCATACATGAGGTTTTATGATCTCTTACTTATACTGAATGGTCCTAAATCACTATTTACTTCCTGCCACCTTCATGTTCCAAGCCAGAAGCAACATAATGAAGCTTTTCCTCTACTCCTGTATGCTTCACAGGCCAGCAAAGTGCAGGCACTACCTTTTCCCCTCTTATCCCCTTGGTAAAGTTACACGTACAGCTAGGCAACTACCGAATAAATGACAGATGGTACCTTCTTCTGCCTGCTACAGTACCTACTATGAGAAAGGTCACCTCATATTGAGAAGTCATGATGAATCACATATTGTTTTACTTTTTCTTTTTGTAAAATTAGAGGCGTTAAAGTGTTTCATCAGCCCGTATGCATGAGCAAAAATGGTTTGAAGGTCATGTCCTTTGTTTAAACCTAGTAATAATTTGCTTAAACCTAGAAATATACGAGTGGTTCCCCATGCCAGGCCGCTCTAAATCCTAAAAGCCAGCTAAAATGAAGCTCTGCCTAGACTGGGCTGCGTTTGCTTTACAGTAGCAGACATGCTCTAAAGAACGCATGAGAAACTCCATACTGGCACTGCAGCACTCGGGCATCACTTACATGACATTACTGACCCTCCCAGGATTGGTTACAACAGCTGCAAGTGCATTTTATGTTAATGTCGTGGTACAAATGCAAAATGTGACCTCCAACCTATTACATTAGGTATTTTCAGACAATATACGTGTGCTAACATATTTAATGAGAGCTATTTGGGTTTAACGCTTGCATTAATAATGATTACTTATCTAGCCAAAAAAAAATGATTTTTTTTATGTATAGATTTCATAGAACTTTTTTCACTAACATACTTCCTTCTTAAGCTTATTTTATAAAGATTCATTTTCCCTGCTGCGAAGTAGTTTGAGGAATACCAAGGTTTTTGATTTAGGAAAGGCTCATTATCTTATCATATGAACTAACACCCTAAACTCAATAACATTTTATAACAGTGTTTTGACTGTTTTTCCTGAATTTTGATAGTTCTTTGAATGGTGAGTTTACAGTCTGCTTGGGTGTATGATGAGGGCCATTCAGAGTTAGGACTCAGTTGAGCAGCACTGCAATGGATGTTAATAACAGTACAAAAGGTTTCTTAAATCATTTTGAGCTCAGAATGGTTTAATCTAATTTCTTCTGACTTCAGATAACTTCTGAGCCCAAGCAAATTTTCAAACAAAACAAAACGAAACAGAACAAAACAAAGCCTTATCCATTAAAATGTGGATTCATAATCTCAGCAACTTGTGGGACTATACTTGGATATTCTAAGAGGTTTTCAAAACACATAGTGGCTTTCTTTGGCCTTCCTGTAATCAGGTTTTAAATACAGGAAGAAGAAAGTATAATCCAACTGGCACCATTATCTTTTCTGCTCACATACAGAAATTTGTATTTATAAATAAATCAAGCTGTAAAAAGCATATTTCTCTAATGAGAAACATTTTGGACCACTTTTCATTTGAGCCTGGGAAAGAGCAAAATCATATAAACATAAAATGTATTTAACACATGTAATATGCCTCTTTATCTGCAAACCAGCAATTCACCTACACAATATGACTTTCAGAGTAATCAAATTTACATAATCAGTCTTCGCAGCAAGTATCTCCCTTCTTCACCTTTTTGAGTTAATAGAGGTGAATAAGACAACTCACGGAGGATGCCTGAATGTCAAGATTTTTTTATTAACTTGGATTTCTAGTAACAATGCAGAGTATAATTGCTGTAAATTCAAAATAAAGAGAAAACACTTCCAATATATTAGTGCATTATATTCTAAACATATTTTAAAATAAAATCAATTATTTGACTATCCTCTATTTTACTATGAAAAAGGTGTATCTGCATTAGCTGTGACTACCTGCTCAGAATGTTTGAGGGGTATATATCCAAACATGCTAGCTATGAAGCAGTGCCACTGCCCCAGAATGAGGCAACGGTAACTATCTGTTTTCTCTGGCTACCTAAGTGAAGGAAACTCTACCTGATCTTTTCTTCTGTTGGTTACAGAGTACAAATATTCCGGAAATTACTTTACAGTATAAGATGTCAAATAGATCTTTTTAACAATCAACAGGAAAATTATAAACTAAGACGAAACTGGCTGATTAATGCATTACTGGTTTTGAGCCTGGACTGCAGGTCTCCTGCTCCATCCTACCAAAAAAGGGCATGCACAAATAAATAAATAAATAAAAAGGCCCCTTTATTCTTTTCTTTATGCAAAATCACATCTCCTTGTAAGAGGTTTAAAGTGTGATTTGGGCTGTACAATTGCACTTGATGATGATCTAACTAGATTTTTCCTCATTATGAGAAAGGACTTCAGCTTATTATACCTATTTGTTAATGCGAATTTATAAATTACTAGTAATACTTAAAGTTTAAAGCTTAATTTTACCGGCTCAATTTCTTTCTTCCCCTTTTCAGTTCTTAATGTCGTTAAAATTTTCAATATCAAGAAAAATATCAAAATCCACTTTCTTTGTCAGTCATTTCCTAGTGGTAGTTAACAATGTATTCTTCATGTCAGCACAGTAAATTCCCTGTGCACTTCTTTATGCTGTAAGGCCAGAGGTTATAATTCAGTGACTAATTTTTAGTCCTGTATGCGGATTTAGTTAACACATGTCATGTCAAAACTTGGCAAGTGGGCCTGAACTTTAATCTTTACTCTCTTTCTAGCTAATGCTTACCTCTTTGTGGCCTTACTATCCTCCCACAAAGCACTGTTCTGGCAAAGGAAAGTTAATCTATATTTCCTTGGACTTAATAGGCACACTGGAACAAAAGGTAGAGTGGTATTGGCAGACACATTTCAAAAGTGTGAAATACCAATAACTCATGAATAACAAGTCTGTACTAACAGTTTTAATGAGTGCTTTAATGGTTTAATGGATGGCACTTTAATAGGATTTCCAGTATATTCATTTTGAAAGCTTGTCTTCAACGAAGCTGTCATTAACAAAGAACTGGATTTCCTCACAGCATAACTGTGTAGTATAGCTTTGTGTGAAAGAAATAAAGATATCTTTATTACCTTCCCATGCTATGACTAATCTTTCAGTGATTGTGTCTTAAATGGTTGGCTGCTACAAAAATGCCTGATCTGTTGTTGGGAAGAGATTTGAGCAATGTTTACTAATATGATGTGGCACCCACAGAAGAATCAGAGTAGGTATCTGGATAACCAGAATGCCTTTCGAGGAATAATTGTAAACTAACAGCCCTTCCCAGGCCCCATAAATTCTATATTTACAATTCTGCACTATTTTTTCAGCCTACTTGAACAGAGGCAAATATTGCTTGAGGTTTTCCAGGAGTGTTTCCTAATGCAGAACTGCAGAAGGAATAAGAACTAAGAAATGACAAACATCCTGGTGTAAGTTGATGTATGATGGGCTGCCATGGGGAACTATGCAGGTTGCCTGTGCCAGCAAATTAAGAGACAGTAGATTTGAATCTTTGTGAGTCTTAGGAGTGGTTAGTTCCTGTGTAGGTTTCACAAAAACAGAAGGGAAAGGCAGCATGAACAGTATGGTTCATGAGGCTTGAGGGTCAAATTAAATCATCAGAAAACACAGAGGAATTTAAGAACAGAGAGAGGAAGAAGAATAAAAATTTCATGTCTAAGAAGATGTCAATGCAAATAGACTTTGCGCAACAGGAAAGTAGTCAACTACCCATAAAAATGAATAGTTTGACCCTCTTCTACCAAAGTCAGTGATTGCAATGAGAATTTCATATCATAGCTGATGAATCTATAATAAGATGCTATTGTATTATGCAGGAAACTTGCTAATAGAATGAGATTTACATACTGCATTAGCAAAACATGAAGACTAAATGTATGAACATTAATACATCACCAGGGCAACTTGCCAATGGAATTACATTCTCCTACTACGACAGGGTTTTTCTTATCACATTGTAAAGACTTCCACTCTTGAGGGATATGAGGGATAAACCCATTTTTTTTTGCATGAGTAAAATCTTTCATGGAGATCAGTTGTACATTTGGATTTTAAAAATCTAGGTAGTAAGAAGAGCGTTTAGAATGCATAGATGGATGCTTTCTTGTTGGCTCTCAAAATAAAGTGATACAACTGCTCAAGAGCAACTAAGCACAGCTAAAACTTTTGCCAAACTTGTCTCAATTTGAGAGATTAATAGCTTAATAGATCTTGTATTTCCTCTACAATATCATGTTAATATTCCTATGGGCAAATGAAATCATTTAAATTCTGACTTCAGTGGGATTAAGCAATGTATATATATGCATATTACAGAAGTATAATTGAGGAAGAAAATAATCACTATTTGAAAACATATTAATTTTTGAAGGAGTGTCTCTACTA